ACAACTTGCTCTTCTTCTTGTGCTGCTTACGTTTCTTCTTCTTCTTCATTGCCGTCAGATTCGACTGTAAGTTCTTCTTCTTCTTCATGTTCCTCCCGATCTCAGCTGCTGTAACTGTGGAAATGAACTTGATTGAAGTTTGTAATTGTTCGAATTTTCGATTCTGTTTTGTCTATTTTAGAAATTTTGTGTAGCTAAAGATTCGATTTTTTTTGTTGGGTTTTGTATTTTCTTGAAATTTCTCCTTTTTTCGAATCCGGGTTAATGATATATTAATTATTCACTTCAAGTAACTCCATTGATTTATAGAACCACCACATCTTCTTGTTCCAGTTGTCTTCCTTTTGAAGTGGGTTTTGTGTTATAAGCTGAAAGTGTTCATCTTTATGATGATAAATCGTGTCTAAACAGGTTTAGGGATTCATGAGTTGAATCTTAGAGAAAGAGTATGTTCGATTGTGGCGCTAAAGTAGTCAAATCTCAAGTAATCAGTGGCCAACGAGAGAAATTTGTGAGGTATATAATGAATCGGTATGATACAAGAACTTGAGTGCGAACATGGTTTTGAGGTTTCTTGATTTTATTAACAGGTTGGATAGTATGGACTCTAGGTACTCGCAAGGTTCTGATGCTGGTCTGAACAAGTGCACATTGAATTTACAAGGTCCGCCGAAACGTTTTGCTCAGGGAAGCAAAGCATCATCAGGTTCTTTTAAGAATGGATTTAGAAAAGGATCCGAGGGACTTTGGTCTATAGGTCGGTCGATTGGACTTGGTGTTTCGCGTGCTGTTTTTCCAGAAGATCTTAAAGTATCTGAGAAGAAGATATTTGATCCACAAGACAAGTTTCTTTTGCTCTGCAATAAGCTGTTTGTCGCTTCGTGCATTCTCGCTGTATCCGTGGATCCGCTCTTCTTGTATCTTCCGTTTATTAACGATAAAGCGAAATGCGTTGGTATAGATCGGAAATTGGCAATCGTAGTGACAACGTTAAGGACAGTCATAGATTCGTTTTATCTCTTTCACATGGCTCTCAGGTTTAGAACAGCTTATGTTGCTCCCTCATCACGGGTTTTTGGTCGAGGAGAACTTGTGATAGATCCTGCACAGATAGCAAAGCGATATTTGCAACAGTATTTCATCATTGATTTACTTTCCGTGCTTCCCATTCCACAGGTATAACAACTGAATATAATTCGAAACTTCTCTCATTGTCCAGATTTACCTCTCTTTCATGTTCATTTTGTCTTCTTCTTTTGTTCAGATTATAGTTTGGAGATTTCTCTACACCTCGAGGGGTGCGAATGTGCTGGCAACAAAACAAGCGCTTCGATATATTGTGTTAGTTCAATATATACCCCGGTTTCTTCGTATGTATCCTCTGAGTTCAGAACTGAAGAGAACAGCTGGTGTGTTCGCTGAAACTGCTTGGGCTGGTGCAGCTTATTACTTGCTACTTTACATGCTTGCAAGTCATGTCAGTACCATTTTTGTACCATACTATATCTGTTTTTATTTTTTTTGAAGCAATATGTTCTCATTAGTGGGATGTGTATGCAGATTGTTGGGGCTTTGTGGTATTTGCTTGCCTTAGAACGCAATAACGATTGCTGGAGTAAGGCTTGTCACAATAACCACCCGAACTGTACCAGAAATTTCTTGTTTTGTGGTAACCGAAATATGGAAGGTTATGCTGCTTGGGACACTATTAAAGATTCGATTCTGCAGCGAGATTGCCCTGTCAATGTCACTGATGATGAAGATCCCCCCTTTGACTTTGGAATCTACTCAAGAGCCCTCTCCTCGGGCATCGTGTCATCTAAGAGCTTTGTCTCTAAGTACTTCTTCTGTTTGTGGTGGGGATTACAGAATCTTAGGTAGTATGCAGAAATCTATTTGCTACAGTGTCATTGCGATAAGTCTCTTTCGCATTAGTAACCTTGATTCTCCTTTGCAGTACGCTTGGTCAAGGGCTCGAAACTAGCACATACCCTGGAGAGGTTATATTCTCGATAACACTTGCTATTGCTGGACTTTTACTCTTTGCCCTCCTCATTGGAAACATGCAGGTAAGAAAGATCTTGTTTGATTTTTTTATATCTAATGATTTCGTAGGTGAGTATGAAAAACTATAAAATTTTGGCATTTTGATAAACTGTGACAGACTTATCTTCAATCGCTTACTATCCGGTTAGAAGAAATGCGAGTCAAAAGACGTGACTCAGAACAGTGGATGCATCATCGAATGCTTCCATCAGAACTACGGGAACGGGTGAGACGATATGACCAGTACAAGTGGTTGGAGACGCGTGGAGTTGATGAAGAGAATCTTGTTTCGAACCTCCCAAAGGATCTTAGAAGAGATATCAAACGTCACCTCTGTCTCGCCTTAGTCCGAAGAGTAAGTTTCCTTTCTTGATTCATCAAAGAAGTCTCCATTAACATGTTTTTTAATTCAGTTATTTTTATGGAAAAGGTTCCGTTGTTTGATAATATGGATGAGAGGTTGCTGGATGCAATCTGTGAGCGGCTCAAGCCATGTCTGTTCACTGAGATGTCTTACTTGGTTCGTGAGGGAGATCCGGTGAATGAAATGCTCTTCATAATCCGTGGTCGGCTCGAGAGTGTAACCACTGATGGCGGGAGAAGCGGATTCTTCAACCGTAGTTTACTTAAAGAAGGAGATTTCTGCGGTGAAGAGCTTTTGACATGGGCGCTTGATCCCAAATCCGGTTCTAACCTCCCGTCCTCAACAAGAACCGTGAAGGCCTTAACCGAAGTAGAAGCTTTTGCTTTGATAGCCGATGAGTTGAAATTCGTGGCGAGCCAATTCAGGAGACTCCATAGCAGACAAGTACAACACACTTTCAGATTCTATTCGCAGCAATGGAGAACTTGGGCTGCTTGCTTCATCCAAGCTGCATGGCGACGATACTC